ACTATTCCTCCTCAGTGACCCTTGGGATGGCATACTGTTCTTTAGGGCCCTCACTCCCTTGTGATTACAGCAAGTCTGCTCCTCACATCTGATCCTTTTGACTTCAAACACTTCTCTTTGCCCTGAAATTGAGACCCAGACGTAGGTATAGACAATAGGGTTGCCAAATAGCACCTGATCCTGTAGCTAGTGCTACATCTTGGGTCCCCTCTAATCTCTCTCACCAGTTCTCCAAACCCCTTACAATCTCTGGCTTGAGAGCTCCTGAAACTGCTTCTGCTGCTGCTGTTGTTTTCTCCAAAGATTCCATCTGGTGTTGCCACCATATGAACTCCAAGTCATCCCCAAAACCAGTATCACAAAACTCTCCTGACCTAAGAAATCTTGGGCTGGAAAAATGTCTCATCTGGGCCTTTTGTTGGCTCTACCCCTTTGGAATTAGATTTGAGGCATTTTAAATTTATTTTCAGGAGAATGTTGGAAAAGTTCAGTGGTGTTTCCTCTACTCCACTATCATGGCTCTTCCAGATTGCATCTTGTTAAATTATTCCTAAACTTCTAATCTTAAGAAACTTTTGAAGTTCAAAAGTCTGTCATTCAATGCATGATCTATCTATCCTGGCAATGTTTCATTTGCCAATTTGATAAGCATGCCCCTTATGCCTTTATCTAAAGCATTAATAAGAATGTCAACCAGCATAAAACCAATTACAGAGACACTGAGCAATCTACTACAGACTTTTCTCTGAGCTGGCATTAAACATTAGCTATAATTCTTTAACTGCATTCATTAAACCAGCTTAGGAATCCACATCTTTAACTTGCTTGAATATATAGAAGGAAAGAATTTATCAAATACTTTGGTGAAAATCTAGGCAGACTACAGCTGCAGGAATTTTCTCACTTACCCATCTAGCAACTGTCATTTAAAAAGAAAATTCAGATATGATCTATTCTTGATGACCATACTAGCTCTTTGAAATCATCACCTCATTTAATAAATGTTTATTAACAATCTCTTTTATGATGTGTTCTAGAATTTCACTGGAATCACTAGAATATAGTTTGCAAATTCCATTTTCTTATCATCAAAAAAATCAAAACATTTACCTTTCTCAAATCTTGTAGAATCTCAACTGCTATTCATTCTCTTTCAAAGATCACTAATAGTTCATTAATAACATTTGTCAGTTCTTTCAATGTCTTAGGATATAGATCATTTAGGCCTAATTATTTGAACTCATTAAGGACTACTGGGTATGCCTTATCTAACTTCGTATCTTTGTTTTGACTCCCTATCAGTCATTTCTTTTCTCATCTTTTCCAGGTTACAATTAATGTATCAGGTAAAAAAATATAAACAAAATAATAATTTAGCTCCTTTTCCTTTTCTTCTGCAATCCGTCATCAACCCACCTTTCCCTAAAATCAAAATTATACAATGATCTTATTACTTGATCTTTATCATATATATCATATATCATATCAAATATATCATGTATGTGTGTCTAAGTGCCCACTGTGTGCCAGGCACTAAATTATGCACTGGGGATACAAATAAGCAAAGAAAGACAGACCTTGCCTTCAAGAGGCTTATAATCTAATAGGGAAACAGAGCACACAAAAATGAAACTTCATTCGAATTCAGGTTTTCTTGATTTCTGATTTAGCTCTGTGCCAGGCTTTTTATCCTCTTTCCAATTTCCATATCTAATTCCTCTTTCTGTCTAGGTGATCCATTGTTCATTCTAATTATAACATTAGTTCTCTTTCTGCTTCCCCTGGTCTTCATTCAAATTCTCTATACCTTGACTTGCCATTTTGGTTTCCAAATTTCCTCACAATAAATATATTACATTAATATGCTCTTATAGTCCAACTACTACCTTTTCAATTTTTACCTATTTCCTTTTGAATAAGATATGTTTTCTTCAAAAATGGTCTATTTATGAGTCTCATCCCATCATGTCTCAGTGGTATCAAAGAGGTCAAATTTGCCTCCTTGGAAAAAGAACTTCAGTAAACTCTTCTAAACACCTTTTCCTTCTCTTCCAAGAGGGAGAAATAAAATGTACATATAGACAAAGCCATTTACAGGCTCTAAGCCCAAGATACACCCATCTTTTTTACATTCATACTTACATTCATATTTCAATGAATCCATTTTCTCATGGGTACGGTTGTTCTAATAAAGAGCTAGGCAGTTTAGTGGACAGAGGACTGATACTTACTAGCAATTCACATTACCACTCTCATCGTAATGCCTCATCTATAAAATGAGGATAATAATAATATCTACCTCGCGGGGTTCTCGTGAAGAACAAATAAGGGAACATAAGTAAAGCACTTTGCAAAACTTAAAAACAGTTTGTAAACCAGAGCTAAAATTTCTTGCTCTGTGAGTACAGATAATCATCGAGAACTACACAACATAGCTTTCTCTGGTTCTTTTATGACTATATGGATGGCAGTGCAACAGTAGGCAATTCAACTGTTTTCCTTCCCTTTCACTGCCACTGCTTAACCAGCCAATTTATGTGTGTGTGTGTGTGTATGTGTGTGTGTGTGTGTATATATATACATATATATGTGTATGTATATGTGTATGTATGTATGCATATATGTGTATATGTATGTGTATATGTGTGTATATATGTATGTATGTATGTATATGCATATCCCTCTAATATATCTTTTTCATTCCTTCTCATGTCAGAGATATTGTTTGTAGACTACATACACCCACCCTATATCTTTCCCTTCATCTATAGGTCACTTGTAATACATTTTTTTTTCTGATGTCATTGTGTTCCATGATGCATTACCACACAGCATCACTCAAGGTCATATCTCTGAGGGACTGTTGTATAATCTTAACAAATGTGCGGGTGATGTCTTATTTGATGAAAGTCTTGAAAGCTTCAATCAGCTCCACGGAGTCAAATGTTCTTTTTTATCTTTTTTTAAATCAACAATAGATAGTGAGAACTTTCAGTCATTCCTTTATGGCTCACTCAATTGTATGGCTATGAAGATGTGCTCTGCTATTGAGAACCATCTCACATATTCATCAATAAAAGTCTTGATGCATGCAAGACTAATCTTATGAAGATTTTATAAACTAAGTACCCAGTCAGAGGTCCAGCATAGAGAAAAGCACAAATGCTTCTCACCAGGAAGCTGGTTATAAAATTCATGAGATAAACCTTCTGGGTACTATGACCCAGCAAATGGACAAAAATATTAAATGACCCATAGTCCTGTGTGGTCCCTTTTGCTTTTGCAGTGATAGTAGTATTATGTGCTCAGAGAGCACAAAGAATCATAATTTTTTAGACTGTCTACAAACATTAATTTTACAGCTAAGACTTTAAGATTGAATTATTTGTCCAATGATGAACAAGTGGATCTAACACTGAAGGAACTGAATCACATTGATATTGAGTTTACTGATAAGTAGTGTTGAAATAGAAAAGAGATATAATAAATAATTTTGGTCAAGAAAGGAGAAAGCAATGCAAATTAGATTGCAATTTGTGTTACCCAACTGAATATCCCCTAACTTCCTTTTTTCATGATGACAAAGCCACTTCCAGCTTACTTTCTAGAAAATTACATGATTAATTTTAAAATAATAGTAATTGCCATTTATTTAACACTTTAAAATTTTCAAGGCATTTTTCTCATTTGAGTTTCACAATAGCACCAGAAGATAAGTACTACTGGTACCAGGATGCCCTTTTTCTAGTTGAGAAAACTGAGGTTTGGAGAATTAAATGATTTACCAGAGTCACATAGCTAGTACCTCTACTAGAAGGATTTGAACCCAAGTCTACCTCACTCTCTCCACTATCCAGTATTGCCTCTGTATACCATAATGTAATTTACACTTGTATAAAATAATTAAAACTTATATTTATATAATACTTCATAGTTTAAAAGCTCATTCACATATTTTATTCTATTCCCAACTTCAGAGAGAAGAAAATTGAGGTTCTGAATAAGTGACTTCTCCAAGATCACCTGCTAGTTAGTGGCAAAGCCCAAATTTGAAACCAGTTTTCTTTCTGTGATGTCATTTCCATTATTTCCAATATTGTATTCTAGTATGGTGCATTAGGGTATTGAAAAAAGAAGATAGTTATTGTTGAAGCAATAAGGATTAGTTGCTACTTCCATGTTAGCTCATATGAAAAGAGTCAAGGATAGATATGTAGATTTGAGAATAGTGAGTAAAACCAGATGAGTGAATGAGACAGCCAAAAAAGAGCATAGGGTGAGAAGAAATGACCCCGGAAGTCAAAAGGAGGAAAACGTGTCATAAGTAACCAACAGCCAGAACAACCAATGGGACACAGTGTAACAGATACAAAGAGAGTACTAATGAGAAAGTGGTCAACAGTATAAAATACTTCAGAAAAGTCAAGAAGGAATGAGGAATGGTAATGCAACAAGTTCAACAGATACCTTGTTAAGCACCTACTATGTGCAAGATGCTAGGAATACCAAGTCCCTGCCCTCAAGGGGCTTATATTATACTAGATGAAATAAACATTTTCTATAATGTATAACATACATACATACATAGATATACACAAATTTACATATATAATTAATACAAAGTAATTTCAAGGAGAGAGCTAACTGGGGAGACTAGGAAAGGGCTCACAGAAAAGGTGGCATTTGAGCTATAACTTGCAGCAAAGTAAAGATTCTATCAGGTGAGGAAGGGGACATGGGGGATCACTTTTTATAGAATCATTGTGGCAGGAGGCAAAATGTCATACCTGGGAATGTATGCCCAGGTTGACTAACAGGAGGAGGATTTGGCTAGAATGAAGCACACACAAATAGGAGATTTTGGACTTGTACTATTAGTATATGATGTACTTTTAACTAGAAGCTTGCCATTTATTTTATTTGAAATGTTCATGGTACCAGGACACATTGAGTTTTATTGGTCAAAATCTAATTATTATAGTGCTTCTACTTTTACTTACATTGGAAGAGACTCTATATGGAGGAGAGCACTGGTATATTCGATTAGATTTTTCTATGTTGTTTGGACATGGTTTTGTGGCATGCCTTTTGCCCCGTCCATCAGAACGACTTGCCATGTCACAGCCATTGTTGTTGAAGATTTGGTCCTTAAAAAGTGGGTAGCATGCATGAGATACCAACCTAAGCAGATAAAATAAAACAACTGGTTGTAAAAGTTTCTATGCATCTAATATAAAAAAATATGCATTGCAAAATTTTGCATGCAGAAAAACTTTACATGCTAAGGTATTTGAAAATGTTATTTTCAAAACCTCTAATGTGAGTCATCTAGATTAGTTATCCCCTTGCCTTATCATCATGAAGAAGTCACTCAGCATATATATATACATATATATATATATATGTATATATATAAAACATATAATACGATATGAAATTTCCTGAAGGTCATTTTAGAAAAAAAAGTTGGCAGCCAGTGGATTTACAATGTTATCATGAAGACGAGTCTCCCTGGCTCCCAACATAGGTGTCATCATTGACTCCACATCTCTCTCACCCTGTACCCATATCTAATCAGTAGTCTAATCCTGTCATTTCTACCTTCATAACATCTATCATATAATGATTAATAATATCAATATTTATATAACACTTACTATGTGCTAGGCACTATGCAAAGTGCTTTATAATTATTATCTCATTTGATCCTTACAACAACCCTGAAAGGGAGGTTCTATTATTATCTCCATTTTACAGATGAGGAAACTGAGGCAAACAGAGGCTAAGTGACCAGTGCTCTACCTACTCCATAGATAGCCATAGATAGATAATAGATAGATACACACATGCATACCATACACACACACACACACACACACACACACACACACACACACACAGAGACACAGGTATATATATATATGTGTGTGTGTGTGTGTGTATGTATATATATAATGTATATGTGTATGTGTGTACATATATGCACACACACACACACACACACACACACACATATATATATACACACCTTTTTCTCTCTTTTTTCCTTGACACCTGAAACAAGCCTTATTACCTCCTTCCTGGTTTATTGCAGTAGTCTGCCAGTTGATCTCACTGCCTTAAATCTCCCCCTACTCCAGTCCATACACCTATCAAATCATTACTCTATTCAATCAACTCCATAGGCTCCCTATCACCTCCAGGATAAAGTATAAAATCCTCTGTTGATAATCAAATCCCTTCGTATCTTTGTGTTTTTCTACCTTCCTTGCATTTTACTTCTCTCCACATACTGTGGCCAGTGACACGGGTCTCCTTTCTGTTCTTCGTGCATGATTCTCCATCTCCCAAGTCTAGTCCTCCATGCCTGGAATCCTCTCCCTCCTCATCTTCACCTTCTGCTTCTCTGATTTCCTTTAAGTCTCAGTCAAAGCCCCAACTTCTACAAACTGTCTTTTTAGTCCTCCCTTAAACTTAGTCTCTTTCCTCTGAGATTATCCCCGATTTATTCTATCTATATTTTGTTTGTCCAGAGTTGTTTGGGTGCTCTCTCCTCCATTAGACTGTGAACTTCTTGACAGAAAGGACTGGGTTTTTTTTTGTTTGCTTGTTCTTTACTATTTATTGTATCCTTTGTGCTTAGCATAGTGCCTAACAGACAATAGATGCTAAAATGTTAATTGACCATCTGATTTCTGAATATGGAATTACATAGAAGAAGCAAATTGGATATGTAAGAGATGACAAATTGGATTATTCCCCAAAGTAATATTCTGATAAGTTATGGCTTCTCTAAAATTAAGCTATTTTAATATTTTATCTTTTTACAGAGATCTCATAAGAATTAAATTGTTAAAGGTCTACAGTTGATAACACTTTATGTGGAATATCACAACACCAATATAAATATTAAAAAAGAAAATGAACCAAATAATACAAAGTCAACTATCAACTAAAATTCATAAAAGTGATCTCGATTTTCCTATAGCATAGTGTTCGGAGACTGATGAGAGCGTGAACAGAATGAATTTGGAGTCTAGTTACAGATAATCAAAATGAATAAATAATGATGATAAAATGGTGATAAACTATTTTAATAATAGCAAGCATTTATATAATATTTTAAGGTTTGCAAAGCACTTTATAACTTTTATCTCATTTGATGCTCATACTAACCCGGGGGGGTAGAATCTACTATATCTCCATTTTACAGTGGAGGAAACTGAGGAAAACAGAAATTAAGTGACTTGGGAAGGGTCACACAGCTATGAAGTATGTGAGACTGGATTTGAATTCAGTACTTCCTGACTTCAGATCAAACATTCTATTAACCGTACTGTCAAACTGCCTGTCAAACTGTCTAGATCAGAGTCCCTTAGAAATAAAATAACCAAACAGAATAAGGGAGAATTTGAACCCACAGGAACAAATGATGTCTGGGAGTTCCAAAAAGGTTTTATCTGAATTGTGTTTTTTGAAACTTGAGAGATAACAGTTGATAGCAACTCAGGTGAGAACTTTCATTTTTTACCATAGGACATAGGCTGCTACATGGTACAGTGGTTACAGCACCAGGCCTGAGTCAGGAAGGAAATGACAAACCACTTCAGTTATCCTTGCCAAGAAATCCCCAAAAAGGGTCGCAAAGGGTCAGACACTACTCAAATGACTGTACAACAACGACAAAATAGCAATATCATCATGATCCCTGCTAATGCAGAAAGTCATATATAGACTCACATGGCACTGAGGTCCTCAGGACCGACAGGAAACAGATGATGTGATTTAGAAAATAAAATAAAAGGGCACAGAGGCTTACTGTCATCTCTGAAAATGTCTCCCCACACACCTACCCCTCCACATAGAACATGCAGCCCAGGTTAGTCATTAGCTGACTCATGGTCTTCAGGGAAAGATGAAAAGACTTAAAATAATGCCACCTGTGAGCTTTGCCTGCATCATTTAAAAACAAGTCTTTGCTCCTTCCAAATTGAACACTATAGTCGTTTCGCAGATTATCCATAAAGTTAGAAACAAGAAATGCTCGACTAGGCACATGCTTAAGGAGCAGGGCAGCCCACTTTTGTCACATTAGCATGATCAAAACCAAAAATGAACACATGGGCCTCTGATTGTGTTGATAAAGTAGATATCAGTTTAAAAAAAATAATAAGTAGATACATTAATCAGATTTTAACTTGCCATACTGTGCTGGTAGACTTGAAGTATCATAGATTTAAAGCTAGAAGTTACCTTAGAAGTTATTTATTGTAACCCTCTCATCTTGAAGTTGAAGAAATTGAGTCCTGGAAGTTTAAGCAACTTTTCCAAGACAATGGACATAGTCACCATCAGAAACAGGATTTAAACCCAGGTCTTCTAAGCCCAGTGGCAAGGCTCTTTCCACTGTATACACTGAGGAGTAAAATAGCTAAGGAATCTGAAAGGTGATAATAGAAAGAGGTCTACAACTTCTTTTGCTCTGAGTTTCTCCGCAGGAGGTACTCAATGTTCCCTTATGTTTTGCTTTGGCAAGCCAAAGGCAAAATCTTTTTAGAGGCAACTAGGTGGCATAGTGAATAGAATACCGGGCCTAGAGTCTTAAAGACTGGCCTCATACCTTTACTAGCTGTGTGACTCTGGGCAAGTCACTTAGCCTAGGTCTATTTCAGTTTCTATAGCTACAAAAAGGAAGATAATAACGGCACCTACCTCCCAGGGTTATTGGTTGCTGTGAGTCTCAAATGAGATAATATTTGCAAAGCACATATTATAGTGCCTAGAATACAGTAGCCACTTGATAAATATTTGTTTCCCTCTTCCTTGAAAGATGACATAAATGGAGAGGGAGGGAAAATGAGGGGAAAAGAAGAATAAAGGAGTTGGCTGGGGAAGAAGAAAGGAAGGAAGAAAAGAAAGGAAAGATGAAGAGATGGGAGAGAAGGGAGTGGAGAGGGGAGAGGAGGGAGTGAAGTTAAGAAAAAAGAAGAGGAGGGAGGAGAGAGACCAGGAAGGGAGAGGAGGAGTCAAAACAGGAATACTGGAGTCCTGACAATGGAACACTGATGAGCCATCCCCATATCATGGTACGAAAGAAGGGGACCAGTCAAACAACTGATAATCATTTATTAAGTGCCTACTCTCTGGCAGGCTCTATGCTAGGCACTAGAGTTTCAAAAAAGAAAAAGAAAAGAGGAGTGAAAGCACATTATTAGGAAAAGAGTCACAGAACTTTAGAGTTGAAAGGGACCTTAGTGGCTATCGACTCCAAAAATAAACAAGAGAAGAGGATACTCAGCAAGTGGTCGTCTGTACTCTACTTGACAATCTTTAATGAGGAGGAAGTGACAACCTCTAAAGGCAGTTCATTCTACTTTTGGACAGCTCAGTTAAGAAGTTGTGTTTTTATATTTTTCTGACATCAAATCTAAATCTGCCGTTTTGCGACTTCAACCCACTGCTCCTTGGTCTGCTTGCTGAGGTTGAACAAAATAAAGCTAATCATTCCAATACTTTAAAATAACTGTCATGTTACCTCTGAGTCATCTTTTTTCTAGACTTCTTTAAATTCTTCAACTAAGCTTCATATATCATAGATTCATAATGTCTGTTATCATCCTAGTTGCCAGACTGTAACACCTCTCCAGCTTGTTAATGCCATTCCTAAAAGTTGGCATGAAGAGCTGAACACAATGCTCTAGATGGATTCTGACCAGAGCAGAGTACAACAGGATTGTCTTCTCCTTCCTTATTCCTCTTAATGCAACCTAAGAAAACATTAGCTTTTTTTTTGCTTGCCATTACTGATTCACATTGAACTTTTAGTCTGCTATCTATAATCCCCAGATTGTTTTTTCCAAAATGCTATCTAAGTATGCCTTCCTATCTTATACTTCTGAAGTCTTTTTTCTGAACCCAAGTGTATCACTATAATTGTCCCTATTAAAATTACTTCTATTATATACTGTTAAATATCCCAGTATATCAAGAGTGTTTTTTGTATACAGACTTGATAGTCTGTGTCAGCTACCTTTCCCAAGTTTGTGTAAAATGCAAATTTGACAAGTGTGTCATCTATGCTTTTTCTCCAAGTCAACAATAAAAGTGTTAAATAGCAAGGAAGGACTATGCATGCTAATGGAGACTTCCTACCAAGTTGACATGGACCCATTTAATGATTA